GCAGATACCCAAAAGCCAATCAGATCCTTGACCATGAAAAAGAAAACACTTGATCTGCCTCCTTGAGCAAAAGCAAAAAGTAGTTTTCTCCTATATTGATGTCTCTCAAGTGAGAAATTCAAGCTAGCAAATAACTGCTGCTTCTGTTTGCTGCAAAAAAGTCAAAATGCTCTTTCTTAAACACAAGTATAATCATGTGGACAGAGTGATGGAGACAGAAAAATAGTAAGAACCTGTAGAACTGAAATTGTGGCCCTTCCCTTGAGCCTGGAGCTGTGGTCCCCAACCATGAGCCACAGTTCCACACTCCGCATTCCTGGTGGTAGACTGATGGTGGAGCAGATTGGAGGATGGGGGACTTCCTGACATTGGGAGGCAGTTTCAGTCTTCTCTGGGTGACTGCACGCCCTACAACAACCTCCCCAGAGGTCCCAGGTTGTGCATGACAGTAGCTTTGTTGGGTTTATGCTGGAACAGGGGAGGTCTCTGCCATTTTCAGATTATAGTCTTGGAAGGACTGATTCTCAAGGATGAACTTCCCACCTTCCTTGATGGCCAGCTATGGCCTTGACTCCACACATGGTCCTGGGCACCCAGGCCTTGACTTTGGACCATCTCCATTCCCAGGCATCAAGAGGTTTTTCCATCATTCTTCTCTTACTCTTCTACAGCCCCAGGGTATTTTTACTTGGGCCCTACAAAAAAAAATAATAAATCACCTAACTGAATTTCTAGAGATAAAAATCACAATCTGGAAAGTTAAAATTGATGATGATGATGATGATGATGATGATGATGATGATGATATGAGCCTTTGAGATAGCTTAGTGGGTAAAGGCACTTGCCACGTGGGCCTGGTGACCTGAGTTTGATCCTCAGAATGCATGTAAAGGTGGAAGGAGAGAACCAACTCCCGGGGGTGGAGAGATGGCTCAGCGGTTAAGAACACTGGTTGCTCTTGAAGAAGACCTGGGTTCAAATCCCAGCATCCACATGGCAGCTAACAACTGTTCATAACTCCAGTCCCAGGGGATCTGACAGCCTCTTCTGATCTCTGTGGGCATTTCACGACACAGGTGCAGTTACCTACATGCAGGCAATACAAGCATACACATAAAATAATAAATAAAAAAAATTTTTTTAATTTAAAAAAAAGAGAATCAACTCCCAAAAGTTATCCTCTGACTTCCACACATGCACCATGATATCTGCATACCTGCACACACATGTGTGCATGCATATACAAACAAATAATAATATAATGGCTACATGTAGACCCACACGCAGGTACACACACACACATACACACACACACACACACACACACACACACACACACACACACAAGCTTTTTTTCTCTTATTGTTACGTCTCAGGCCAGAAAAGTGGTTCAGTTGAGTAAAGGCACTTGCTGCCAAGCTTGACAATTCGAGTTCAATCCCTAGAAATGACACAATGGAATTAGAGAACTGACTTTCCCAAATTGTGTTCTTGTTCTCTCTCTCTCTCTCTCTCTCTCTCTCTCTCTCTCTCTATTGCTCTAATGAGCATAAGTAAAGCATTATTTACAGGACTATGGGCAACCTTTGGTCTTTTTGAGACAGGGTCTCTCTGTAGGCCCAGCTGGCTTGGCCCTCACTATGTAGATCAGGCTGGACTTGAACTCATAGGGATCCGCTTGTCTCTGCCTCCTGCATGCTGGGATTAAAGGCATGCGCCACCACTCCCGGCTATAAAACACTTTTTTTTTTTTTTTGGTCTTTTTGAGACAGGGCCTCCCTGTAGCCCTAGCTGGCCTGGATTCACTATGGAGACCAGGCTGGCCCAGAACTCACAGAGATCTGCCTGCCTCTGCCTCCCAAGTGCTGGGATTAAAGGCCTACACCACCACGCCCCCAGCATAAAACACTTTTTTAAACTCTCAGATACTGGTTAACTTGTGGACAACATGTGACCTTCTCTTAGCTCACTCTCTGTCCATCAGGACCAAAGACTGATCCCTTTATGATGGCTAATCTTCATTGTCAAGTTGACTGGCTTTAGAGTCATCTAGGAGATTGGAGAAGCACATTTCTGGGTATGTCTGTCGAGGGTGTTCCCAGAGAGAATTAACTGAGGGGCAAGACTCATGCTGAATGTGAACAGCACTATCCCTTGAGCTAAGGGATAGACAGAAGAAAACTGGGAAACATCCACCTGTCCCCTTTCTCAGTTTCCTGTCTGCCATAGGTGAACAGCTCTCCTCTACCCCCCACTCCCACCACCATGATGTTCTGCCCACAAAGATAGGGCTAAGTAATACTAGACTGAACACGCTCAAATGGTGAGGCAAAACCAATCCTTCCTTTAAACTGTTTCTATCAGGGACTGAAAATGTAGCTTGGGCTGGAGAGACGGCATAGTGGTTAAGAGCACTGGCTGCTCTTGCAGAGAACCTGGGTTTGATTCCTACTGCCCACATGGCAGCTAACAACCATCCGTAACTCCAGTTCCAGGGGCTCTGACACCCTCTTCTGATCTCCATGGGCACTGCACAACACAGGTGCACTTATATACATACAGGCAATACACATATACATAAAAATAATAAATAAAACTTTTTTTAAAAAAATGAAAATGAGGGTCAGTTGGTACAGTGCTTGCCTAGCATGCATGAAGCCCTGTGTTTGATCCCCAGCACTGCATAAAACCAGACATGGTGACTGTCTTAGTTTGTTTCTCCATTGCTGTAACAAAACACTCTGACCAATACCAACTTGGGAAGGAAAGGGTTTATTCAGCTTACAACTCCCAGGTCACAGTTCATCAGAGAGCCCAAGATAGGAACTCGGGGCAGGAACCTGGAAGCAGGATCTGGAGCACAGGCCATGGAGGAACTCTGCTTACTGGCTTGTTCCCCTGGCTTCTGCTCAGCTTGCTCTCTTATCCAACACAGGCCCACCTGCCCAGGGGTGGCACTACCCACAATGGGCTGGGCCCTCCCACATCACTCAACAATCAAGAACATGCCCTACAGACATGGCCACAGGCCAGTCCAATGGAGGAAATTCCCCAATTGAGGCTCCCTCAGTCCAGGTGTGTTAAGTTGACACAGAAGCTATGCAGCACAGTGACACATGCCTGTCATCTTAGCACCTGGGAGGTAGAAGCAGAAGGCTCTCAAGTTTCAAGTCATCCTTGTCTGTATACCAAATTTAAGACCTGTCTGGGATATATGAGACCATGTGTCAAAAAAAAAAAAAGATTACGTCAATCACTTTGGTCACAACAGTCAAAAGCTACCACACCCCTCTCCAGGACATGACTGTTGCTCTGGTGACTCAGCATTAGTTCTGGTCAGCAGAACAGTACCTTTGGGTCACAGTAGCTTGCATCATCTTCACCTCTGCCCAGGACCCTGCTTCCTCCTGCACTGTTTCTCTCCCCATCTCTCCATCATCCTCTAGATTGTCTTCTTTCATGATGACAACAGGCTGCCAACATCTCAACAAAAACAGAATTTCTTTTATCTCTGAATGTGGACCAAAACCAAATGAAAAAGGGAATGTCTTGGTCTGGACAGCCATCACTGAACCATTGAGGCCAGAGATGGAATGCTTGAGCCCACTTTGAGAACTAGAAAGAGGGGTGAATAAACAAATTTTGAGAAGAAAAAAATGAAAAGACAAGAGCTCATTCTCATTCTTTTTTTCCAAACAAGGTTTTGCAATGTAACCCAGGCTGGTCTCAAACTCATGATCCTCCTATGTCCTAGTTTGTTCTTCATTGCTGTGACAAAACACTCTGACCACTACCAACTTAGGGAGGAAAGACTTTATTTATTTTACAGCTCCTGGGTCACAGTTCATCAGGGAGCCCAAGGTAGGAACTCAGGGCAGGAACCTGGAGGCAGGAGCTGGAGCACAGGCCATGGAGGAATGCTGCTTACAGGCTTGCTCCCCAGGCCCCTGCTCAGCCTGCTTTCTTATGCAACACAGGCCCACCTGCCCAGGGGTGGCACCACCCACAGTGGGCTGGGCCCTCCCACATCACTCATCAAGAAGATGCCCCTCAGACATGGCCACAGGCCAGTCCAATAGAGGCAATTTCCCGATTGAGGCTCCTTCAACCCAGGTGTGTCAAGTTGACACTAAAGCTATCCAGCACATCCTATTTCAGCCTCTAGCTGAATTACAGGTATGTGCCATCATGCCTGGCTCCACTATTGTTTTTTTTGTGGGGGGGATGGGTTTTTTTTTAGTTTCTTTATAGAAAAGCCTCACAAACAGAAATGATAAGACCCCCATACATCTGCTGTGTGCTTCCTTATTTACAAAATACTTTTTTTTTTGTCCCATTGAATCCTTAGAAACAACACACAAAGTGGCATCACGCAACCATTTTTACAGATTAAGCCATTGAGACTTCAAGACATGAAGGGTTTGGCTGAGTTTTCAAACAGGTGAGGGGAGCTGGAGAGATGACTCAGTGGTTAAGAGTACTGGCTGCTCTTGCAGAAGACCCAGGTTCGATTCCCAGCACCCACGTGGCAGCTAACAATCATCTATAACTCCAGTTCCAGGGGATCCGACGCCCTCTTCTGACCTCCATGGGCATTGCATGACACGGGTGCACTTACATACATGCAGGCAATACACTCATACACAAAAAATAAAAATAACAAATGAAATATTTGTGAAGAAAAGTCAAATAGGTGAGGAACTGAGGAAGGGCTGTAGAAACTGAGGAAGGTATGTACAGACTAAAGGAAGAAGACACTGACCCCAGGCAACTTCCATTGTGTGACCGGCTCCCCCATCTCCTCTACTGCCACATCTTCCTTTTCACCTCACTAGTTGCAGCCCCTCCACCTCTTTAGGGCCTCTGTCGCTTATCATCCTGCCAGTTTCTGCCACACCTCTTCTCTGACCTTTACTCTAAGTTCAAGCTTGTTTTCCTATGGATGCGGGGGACCTCCAGCTCACTTTTCACTCACTGCCTGCCATTGCTGAAGCTTCACCATGTGCACAGGAAAATGTGCTCACTGAGTGGGGCTCTCCCTCATCCCACTCTCCCTGAACTGCATCGTGGTCAATGCCCTCCTGCTGGTACCTGATGGGAAGACCACCTGGACCAACAACAATCTCAGCTTGCAAGTGTGGCTCATGGGTGGCTTCATTGGAGGGGGCCTGATGATAAGCACACTGGACACTGGAGCATGAGCAAGGGGCCTGGGTGCTACTCTTAAAGACTAGGAGGAAGAAAATGGACCAGTGCCCGGGAGGATATAGTAAGGGCTTAGTGGGGACTAGGAGCCTGTAAAATCTGCCCCCACACACTAAAGTCCTGGAGGAGCCCCAGAGTCCTGAGATGACTGTCTGAGGCAAATGGGAAGACAGAGCCTCAAGTCTCTAAAGAGCTTCCCTTCTGGGTGGGAGCAAGTTCTACTGCTCTTCCCTACCTCTACCATGGAGCAGATGCTCAGAATACCTCATTACAAGGGTCAGAGCAGGAGCAGCTGGCTGTATGGGAAGTCAGCAGGGCAGGGTAAAAGCAAGCATGGGGGGGGCACCCTGAACAATGTCTGCAGCCAGAGTTGACATCCCAGATCAGTCATTCTAGCAGCCAGCTCTGCGTTGCTTCCCCCTCCTCCACGGCCATTCCTTCTCAGTCCTCCTTTCAGGGTCCCCAGTCTGTGCTCAGTGCTAAAGATAATAAACTTGGAAGCTTCATCAATATTTCAGAGAGGGTGCCCCCAATCTTCCAGGAGAACAGGACCTGTTAGAAATGGAGGAGGAAGTAGATACACAAATTTCCCATACTTCCTCCCCATCTTCCAACTCCTGTTTACAGGAATTTAGGGATTTTTTTTTTCGTATTTTTTACTTTCTATTTATTTATTCATTTAGAGATAACATCATGTTTACAAAGCTCAGGCTGGCCTAGAGATTGCAATCTTCCTGCCTCAGCCTCTCAAGTATAGGTCTGAGCCACCATGACTGATCACTTGGGGGAACTTTTGGGTGATCAATATAGTATAACTTCTTTGTGGGATAAAGACAAAAGATCTACCTAGTACAGCTTTTCACCTTTAGGACAAATAGCTGACTGTTAAAATTCTCTGAGAGAGGTCTCAACTACTTTGGTCCCTTTGGCTGGTCACATCTTTGGTAGCTAAACAGGGATACGACTCCTATAACCAACAACCTCCTCCCCTTGCCAGCTGGCATCTTCTCTTCTAATCTCCACCTCCTGCATACACTCTGGTTGTTGGAATCTACTCCATCTCTCTGACCTGATCTCTCTCTGAGCCATCATAGTTCTCCTCACCCAGTGTCCCATCATCAAGTGCTGCCACCAGCCAGGCATCCACCCAATCTAAGTTGCCTGCTTCAGTGGAGCTCTCCAAGGTTGCATTCTCAGCATCCTCGTGCGCAGCTGCCTTTCTACCCCACCATACCAAGGGGGCACTCTCAGGAAGCACCATATTATGTCATGGGATCAGACAAGGTACCTGCTCTTCCTGAAACTTGTGTTGTGCTAATGGGTCACATGGTACCAAGGAAACAAGAATGGAAGCCTCATGAGAGCCAGAACGGATTCACTTATGATGTGTTCAGTTTATACATGTTGGATGAATGAAGCAAATAGCAAGAGGATGTCAGGTGCAGTGACCCTTTCCGGTAATGCCAGTACTCTAGAAACTGAAGCAGGAAGATGGAGAGTCTGGTGCCAGTCTGGGCTACATAATACACACACACTTTAATCGTGGTACCATCACAAAGCGCTCCTAGGGCAAGAAGGGGCATATTTGTTTGTTTGTTTTGTCCTTTTATTTATTTGATACTAGAGACTGACTCCAGGGCTTGGTGCCTGCTAGGTATTTGCTCTAACACTGAGCTACACTTCCAACCTAGGGACTTATTTTGTAGCATTTCCAAAAAAAGCTTCTATGAGAGGATGTCAGAACTGGTATTCAAATTAAAAAAAGAAATTAGGAGTATTATAAACAGGGACCCCACACACAGAGGATCAGACAGTCCAATGCAGCTGAAGTTCAATGAGACGAGGTCTGAGGTAGGGAGAGGCCAGACCATATACATCCTTGAAAGGCATAGTGATTAATTTGAAGTCTGTTACAAGAACTACTAAAAACTATTGAAGAACTTTTCTCCCTTTTTTAATCCCAGACTAGCTGTGATTATAAGCATGGGCCAGCACACCTAATTCTCTATCTTTTTTCCCATTTTAAAACCATTGGGGTGGGGACTGCTGGGTATGGAATCCAAGGCCTTTTGTATGCTAAGCATATTCTCTACCACTGAGCTACACTCCCAGGTCAATGGATTTTTCACAAAGTGAACATGACCATATACCCAGCACCCAAACTAAAAATCAGATTATTTGCTTGCCTATAGTCCCTGATACATGAGAGGCTGAGGCAGGAAAATGGCTTGAGCCCAGAAACTCAAGAAAAAGAAATAAGAACATTGATCAAAACAGTAAAAAAAAAAAAAAAAAAAAAAAAAATTCTCTGACTCACTCTTGATAATCCCGAGCCTATGCAAAGGCATACACTACTCCTGTACATCTTTCTCCTCTCTCTTAATGCCTGTGCTTCCATATATATTAACAGCTTTGTTAAGCTCCAATTTTGCTTCAAAAAAGTAAGAAAGTGAAAATCTCAAAACTAGCTCACTCAAAATTAGCTAAATCTAGGACTGGGGATGTAATTCAGTGATAGAGTGCATATATGAAGCCTTGGGTTGGATCCCTATAACTGCGGGGGCTGGGGGAGCAGTAGTGGCTCACACCCATAACCCCAGCACTTGGGAGATTGAGGCAGGTAGATAACTAATAGGTTTAGGTTCAAGACCAAGCTGGCCTACTTATTGAGTTCCTGGACAGCCTGGATTACAATGTGATGTAATGTAATGGTAAATTGCCAGCAACATGCACAAGTCTCTGAGTTCAATCCCCAATATCACAAAAAGTAAATAGATATATTTATGATGGGCGTGGTGGTGTATGCCTTTAATCCCAGCACTTGGGAGGCAGAAGAAGCAAATGAATCTCTGTAAGTTCAAGTCCAGCATGGTGTACACGGCAAGTTCCAGACCAGCCAGGACTACACAGTGATTAAAAGCAAGCAAGACTGAACATGGATCTCAGCTGCTTGGGGCACTAAAGCAGAAGAATTAGGAGTGTGAAGTTAGCCTGGGTTAACAGAGGCAACATAGAGAGAGATCCTGCCTTAAAAAAAAAATAGAACCAGGTGGAGTGGCAAACACCTGTAATCACATCACTTGGAAGGTAGGGACAGGATGATTAAGAGTTTAAAGCCACCCTGGACTACACGAGATCTTGTTTCCAGATAGATAGATATAGAAGATAGATGACAGATGATGATAGATAGATAGATAGATAGATAGATAGATAGATAGATAGATAGATGATAGATAGATAGATAGATAGATAGATAGATAGATAGATAGATAGATAGATAGATAGATAGATAGATAGATAGATAGATAGATAGATAGATAGATAGATAGATAGATAGATAGATAGATAGATAGATAGATAGATAGATAGATTAGCCCATGGAGTCCTGGAACTTGCTACATAGCCCAGGTTAGCCTCATACCCTCAAGAATCCTCTTGTCTCAGCCTCTCAAGTGCTGGAATTGTACACTAGATCACCCCGCCCTGTTTAGGGTTCAATTTTGATAGGGTACTCTTTGAAAGAGACCTTAAAGGACTTGAGCAGAGAAAAGATCAATGAAACACCAAGTTAAATCCATTGGTGGTATGTGAGATGGAATCTGGGGTAGCTTGGGACAAGGGCTATGAGACTATAGTAGGGAGGCAGAGGATATCTTTCTCAAGGAAGGCGAGCAGGAGCTGACTATGGGGAAGAAGGAGAAAGGACTAACACATTTAGAAGCTGCTAAAAGAAAAATACAGAAGACTTGAAATCTGGCTGAGTAGAAGGATTAAAGTTTTCTAGCTTAGGTGAATTCCACTGATGAAGATTAAAACAGAGAAAAGGGAGATAAATTTGGAGACTATTATAAGATCAGTATGAGGCTGGCTGAGCCTGAGCTAAACCCAAGACATTCAAGTGGACTTACCCTTCAGGCAGTCTGATGTGAGTCTCCAGGTACCTGGAAGTGACTTAACAGAAGGGAACCACTGGTTGTCTGGGAGGGTGTGAGCTTTATTAGAAAGGCCACAGGGAGAAAAAGAACTAGAGGATGAATCTTAGGAAACCCTTCGAGCCATACCAGAGTCTCTACAAATTCTCACACACTACCATAATTCTAGCTCATTAGACCTTCCAGAAACACGGTCTTGCCCTCCTGTTGAGGCATGTATCATCATGCAGCATTTTCTATGAGCTAGTCCTGACATAAAACCAACCTGCTGCCTCATTAAATCCTGAGAACAGTCCTTTGAGGTAGGTCTTGCAGGTCGATTTTACAAAAAAACAAAACTGAGGTCCAGAGAAACCAATAGGCTCCTAATGTGTGATGGAATACAGGGTTGACCTTGAACACAGACCTCCTGAGTCCCATTCAGGTGGGAACCTTCTATATGACAATATTTGTGGGGACTATATAATATGTCCCCACCCCCAATTGTTTCTTGGCCTCTTGCCTAAGATCAGATGTAATATATTGGACCCTACCCTCCAGGAAGCTACAATCTGGACAGAGATATGGTAGGTACATTAAGTAATGATAAATAAAGTTTGAGTCCAACTGTGCTTCAGAGAAGTAGAGATAAGATTTTGCAGTCCAAAGGCCTGTGGACATCATGAGCAGCTTCCCTGGGACAAGACAATGACATAAGTTTGACCTTGAGGATCTAGAACAACAGGTTATCACAGACTCTTGTCCCACAGGTGCTGTGTCCAGGAATTTCTGCCATTCAGGCAGTGGGCATGGGCTGCTGTGGTGCAGGCTGCTGTGGAAACCGTTATAGGGTAAGATCCATATTGAGAAGTGGTTCAGGACTTGGTTTATGACTCCTTCAAAGAGCCAAAGCACAGTCTGCAAGCCCCTCAAAAGAGATCTCAGGCACCAACTCCTAACCTTGGGTCCCAAGCAACTTGACCGCAGAGGGCTAAATCCCCCATGAGCCTCCCCTAATTTAGGATCAGTTTAATTCCATGCCCTGAGTATAAATCCCCCATGAGACTCCCCTAATTTAGGATCAGTTTAACTCCATGCCCTGAGTATAAAGGGAATTTTTTTGTTTTGGGCTTTTCTAGACAGGATCTCCCTGTAGCCCCAGCTAGCCTGGAATGCCCTATGTAGACCAGGCTGGCCTTGAATTCACAGAGATACTCCTGCCTTTGCCTCCTGAGTGCTGGAATTAAAGGCATGCACCACCATACCCAGCTGGAAATGTATTTTTAAAAATATTTTATCTTTATTTTATGTGTATGAGTATACTGCCTGCATGTATGTAAGTGCACCCATGTCATGCAGTGCCCACAAAGGTCAGAGGGCATCGGATCCCCTGGAACTGGAGTTACAGATGGTTGTTAGCCAAAATGTAGGTGCTAACAAGAAACCCAGTGCTCCAGTGCTCTTAACTGTTGAGCTATCTCTCCAGCCCCAAGAAATGTATTTTTAACCTGGCTGGAGAGAAGTAGAGGAACTATGCAGACAGAACTAGGTGCAGGTGTTCCTCCAAGGCCAAGAGGAGGCCTACTAACCTACCTTTCCACGGTCGGTCTAGATGTTGCCCTCAGTCTTCTCCTCCACCTTTGGGATGCTTGGTGCCATCTACTGCCAGTTGGTGTCCGGAGCTGGGCTCCAAATTGGACCCAAATGCTTAATAAACAATAAATGGGACTACCATTTCGAAGAAACCTTGTAAGTCTTAGCCTGTATTTGCATCCCCCATTCTATGGTTCTCATCTGCCTTTCCAACGTGGCCCAGGAAAGCTGGACTAGACAGAGCTTCTAGACCACTCCTTCCACAGGGCCCACCAAGCCCTTTGTAAATCTCTTTGGGGCCTGCTGTGTGATCCTCTTCTCTTAAGAGACACCCCCACCCGCCCCCATCCACAGAGGCGCTTACTTGTAGCAACAATACACTATGGGACTTGTGTGAGGCACCACCCCACATGGTCCCCTGGAATGTGATGCTCTTCTCTGTGCTGGTGGTCGCCTCAAGCCTGGAAACAGTGCTGTGTGGAATACAGTTGGTGAACGTGACCATTGGAGCCTTCTGTGGCGATTGCAGGAAAAAGGAGGTGGGACAGCATGGAGTGGAGTTGGGGAGGGAATCTACTTGCTCTTGGCTGCCTCCTTAACTTTCTTTTTTCTTGCAGAGTGCTGCTAACAGAGTTTCCACCGACCACCCATAATACCCATTTATCCTTACTCCTGGACATGTGAATGGTCCATTCACTCCCTGGTTCTCTGGAATAAACTGCTTTTATTGTTCATTATTTTTTCTTTGTGGAATAAACCTCCCTGAGCACCCTTCCCCGTTTATGCCCTATGGGAGAAGTGTGCAAGTGTATTGTGTGTGTGTGTGTGTGTGTGTATGTGCATACGTGCACACGTGCACACAGGTCAGAGGACAACTTGAAAGAATGGGTTTTCCACCTCGTGGGTTGCTGGGATCAAGCTCAGGTCCTCAGGCTTGGAGTTAAGCACCTTTAACCACCTAGCTGCCATCCTTCGCCCTCTTCCCTCTTGGATAACTTTTTAAAGACGAAAGGATTATTTCATTTGATGGTAAACATTATTTTTTTGGTCTTTTTTGAGACAGGGTCTCCAGGAACTCTCTATGTAGACCAAGCTGGCCTTGAACTCACAGAGATCTGCCTGCCTCTGCCTCCCGAGCGCTGGGATTAAAGGCGTGCGCACCACGCCTGGTGATGGTAGACATTTTTTAAACAAGTTAGTAATGAGATAGGTATTGATTGATGACCAGACTCCTTTTCATGATAGGGAAAGTCTGAGAAAGTTAATTTTAAGCTGGAATTTGATACCTGGAGGATTCCAGACAGAAGAAACAAAATGCAAAGAGAAAAAGTCTTCAATAAGAATCATGAAAAGCCACTGTTTGGATTTTGCCCAGGTCAGGGGCAGGGGGATGGTAGTGGATGGAAACTGTAGAAAAAGACCCCTCAGTTTCCAAAACTTTAGAAAATTAAAACTAAAAGCTGTTTGCACTGTCACCCAATTTGGTAGAAGTTTCTTAATCTGAGGTCACTGGTGGTTTAGAAGGGAGACAACATGAACCCTTGACGGAGTTTTTTATTTTGTTTTCTTTGAGACAGGGACTCCCTATAGACCCAGCTGGATCTCAGTCTCACACAGATCTGCCTGCCTCTGTCTCCCAAGTACTGGAATTAAAGGTGTGCACTACCATACCTGGCTACAACTTGGGCTTTCAAAGGAGAGAGATTGTCCTAAGAAAACTAAGACCCAAAACAGTATGACTTGCTAGGTGTGATGGTGCACACCTTAAATCCCAGCACTCAGGAGGCAGAGGCAGGAGGATCTCTGTGAGTTCGAGGCCAGCCTGATCTACATAGTTCCAGGACAGCTGGGGCTACGGGAAGACCCTGTCTCAAAAAGACCAAAAAAAAAAAAAAAAAAAGTATGACTTGCAGCAGGACATTGGGTTCAGTGAAACCCTGAACCCAAACCTGAATGTAGACTTAGCCCAGTGCAGAGTAAGGAGAGAAAAATGGAGGCAGTTTCCCATTCCTAAATCAACTGACACCAAAGCCAAGACAGAAGCTTTAATAGCAGGAGGCAGGACTAGCATGGTCCAGTGGGAGAGAGGGCAGCAGCAGCAACAACATCAGCTGCAGCAGAATAGTATAACATCATTAAGTGCAGTGTCATCTCTGAAGCTGTCTCTGGGCTTCTCGAGCTTTGTCTGCAAGCCGCAGATACCTTTGGAACATGATTTGCTCCATTCTCCATATTCTCCCCACTTCAGCCCAGACCCCTCCAGCTCCAGGCCGTCTGAGCAACGGAAGCGAATATTGTTTGCTGCTGTGCTGTCCAAAAACGAAGAGTGCTCCACACGAAGGGAGAAAGCCACTAGGAAGCTTCTATCTGAACACCAAAGAGGCGTAGTCCACATACCCCACCTGCAAGGAAAGGAGAGATGCACTGGCTTTGGGCAGGGTGCCTCCTACCCATCTCCAGAGCAATCAAAACCTGAGGACTTCCAAACCAGGTGCTACCAACAATCTATTGGTAGGGTCTAGTCATCTGAGCTTCTCTGAGATACAGAGGGTGATCTTCCATCCACTCCTCCATAAATCTAGAGAAGTTTACCTCCTGGGGGGTACATGAAATAGAGGGTAAGGGACATACCTTCATGCTAGAAGAGTGCTTCTACCCACTAGGAATTGAACCTAGGGCCTTACATATGCTAGGTAAATGCTCTACCACTGAGCTATATCCCCATTCCTGTTTTGAGACAGTGTCTCTCTGTAACCCAGGCTGATGTCAAACTCACAGTGATCCATCTATCTTAGCCTCCCGAATACTAGTATTACAAGGGCCTGTGCCACCAGCCCTGCCAGGCCCTAGGGAATTCTTGGTCCTTAATTCCTACTTTCCAGATTCAGACTCCACAGCAAGGGGCTGTACATTCCCACGTGAGCAGTGCAGCCGGATACCATTTAGAGCTGTATCATCTCCAATGCCTTGATTGGACTCCACCTAGGCAGGGAGGAGAAAAGGAGTGAAGTCCAGTGACGGGAATGCCATCTCAGCTCTGCAACCAGCACATCTCTGCTCTATCCAACACCCAGCTCTGAGTTCTCACCTTGAGAGAGAACCCTCTGGCCACATATCCCACAGGACATATCTCGGGCGTGGTCCATTCACCCAGGTTACCTCCATTGTTCACATCAATAATCTCTTTAGTTTGGCTCAGCCCATCTGCCTGTTCATATTCGATGAAGCACAGCACCCACAGTAGTAGCAGCAGCACCTTGTCTCTGGTGCCCAACTCCATCCTGCAGCATCTGTGAGCCTGGCCACTTACACAAGTTTTACCAGCTCTGCCCCTGTCAGGACTCACATTGCAGATTTATACCAGGCCTGTCCCTGTGAGGGATCAGATTGCAAAAGAACCTTCAAGATTAAGTGATATTCAAAGCTAATCTGCTCCAAGAACCCAGAGGAGTTGATTCCTGGCTCTGGGAGGCAGAGGCCCCCAGGGCCAGGGAAGGAGGAGCAGTGAGAGCCATTTAGTTGAAATAACCACCAACTACTGAAGACAACTAATTGTGGCTGGCACAATGCAAATGACTTTTATTTAATCTTCACAATGATTTTAAGAGATAGGAATTTTGCTTCCTATTTTGTAGATGAGGGAACTGGGTCTCAGAAAGGACAGCCTGAGGTTGCTCCGAGAAAACTGAGAAATAATTACAGCATTGGAAATGGGAGCCAGGGCTGGAGATTGAAATAATCCCATGAGAATCCACCAGTATCAGGATTAGGCAGGGGACAACTTGACAGAATGTGTGAAAGCAGAATGTGAACATAGATCAAGAATTCATGACTTTTTTTTTTTTTTTTTTTCTTTTTGAGACAGGGTCCCCTTTTAGCCCCGGCTGTCCTGGAACTCACTATGTAGACCAGGCTGGCCTCGAACTCACAAAGATCCGCCCGCCTGCCTCTGCCTCCCAAGTGCTGGGATTAGAGGCATGTGTCATCATGCCTGGCTGAATTCATGAGTTTTTTAAGACTGTGGCCCTGACCCTTTGAGAATCTGGGACACCAGATATGTCTAGAGAGACAGGGCCTCATTCTGTAACCCAGATTCTTTTGAAACTCAGTTTGTAGCCCAGGTTGGCCTTGAATTCTCAACAATCTTCCTGCCTCAGCCTCCCAAGTGCTGAGATTACCAGCATGAGCCACCGTAACCAGCAAGACAGAAATTCTAATGTAATAGGGCACCTTCTTGACCATAGCTATGCCATGTTAAAGTTTAGGCTGACTCTAGTCTCTGAAATTATCAGGCATTTGACCCAGGATATGGGAACACATGTCAGCTGGACCCCAGTTGTCTTGAGAACAGGTCAGTGTGTCCAGGAGTGAACCTGCTAACTGCAGATTTATGGCTTCTATAGGTTATGCTTGGCTTCTGCAAAATAGTAATTGTTGCTTAATAAATAGAAATTGTTAAGGGGGCTTTCCACCTATAAGCTTGGGAACTTAAACTTTTCACCCCTGGTTATGGTTTCTCTGTAGGAAAGCTTACCCTAGAGATGGCTCAGGGCTACATACTTGGCTTTCTATACCCTTGAGTAGTAGCCCTGGCCAGCAGCAACTCTCATTTGGCAAAACTTTGTCTGATTGGTCTTCCCTGGTGAAGCACCCCACAACATTTTGGAAGTTCCACCTGAGATCCCAGAGAATTAGACCTCAGACCCTGGGGGACTGGAGCAGGGAAGTAGTGTGGGCCTGGGCAGACTCCTAGAGGGGGCATCCCTTGAGCTGGCCCAAGGCCTCAAGATTTCTGCCCCACTTGCTGCCCCTGCTGTTCCGGTGGATTTGATATCCCCACCCCAAAAATTTTTGAAGAAAGTCTCCTGTTTCTGGAAGCCTGCCTCCAGAGGTGAGTCGTTTGCATTGTGCCTCTGAAGGACACTTACAGGACTGGATGCAACCATTAACTCAGTGTCCAGGGAGTCAACAAGGCTGTTGCTGGCTGCCCTCTGTAACTACCGAGTTGAATGAATGGTTTTGTGTGATGGCCATCATGTGAGTGCTTTGTTGTCTGTATTTGTGCTAGTCTCAATACAGCACAAATTGTTGTCTGTTTCTACAACAGGGAATGAGCTGACACCTCCGAAGTGTATGCTTAAGTATGTTAGAGGTGGTTTCCATCCATTCACCTCTGCCTTGCTTGCAGCTGGGCGCTAGATAGAAAAAAAAAAAAAAAAGATGCGCTGCTGCACTTCTGCTGGCCAAAGTTCTGTGCTGGGAGGTAGGGGCAGCCGGGTCGTGGAACCCAGCTTCGTGCAGCAGGTCGCGGGGCACCCATGGCAGAGTGCATGGGCACCGCCGACAGAGCCCAGCCCGCGTCCCCAGGACTGGTGCTCTGGCCCGTGCTCAGAGCCAAGAGCACCCAGAAAGCCAGAGTGGTGGAGGCTGAGGAGACGCTACCGGGCGTTTCTCTGCCGGCCAGGAGTTGGGCAGGGGAGGAGCAACACACAGGAGTGGCAGGACAGGCAGCAGTGCGGAGAAAGTAAACTTTTGCCGAGGAGGGAGGAAGGAGCAGAGCAGAGGGCTACAGCCGGGCAGAGGGGATCTTTTCGCCCACTGTCAGACCGGGCCAGAGGAAGGCGATTTTCCCCGGGCCCAAATGGGCGGCCTAAGGGATTTGGTCTCTTCCCCTTGGGGACCCTGAGGCAGAATAAAGCCCCTCCGCTGGAGCTGCGCGAGTCTGCTCTGCTTGTAGACTGGCGGGACCGGCTCATGCCCTTGCCAAGCTGGGCTCGCACTGAGGTAGCTCTCCTTCTTCCCCTGAGGAAGGCACAGGAATGGGACCTGGGCAATAAAAGATCAAGTATGTTCCCCTTTTCTCTTAGTGATCTGTATAACTGAAAAACACAAAATCCTCGCTTTCCCTGAAAAGCTTCATGACAGCCAGCAACTCCTAGTCACCATCTTCATGGAGGAAGAACAGCTGAAGCGCAGGCCAGAGGAGCCCCCTCCCGGTTCAGGAAGGCTTTTCCCCTTTGAGAGAGCTGACAAGGCCCCAATTCTGACTGAGGTAAGGGGGATCTGGACAACTTTCACCTAGTCCTTTTAGGGAGAATAAAGACAGCTGCTAGGAGGCCCACAAATCTTTCTGAAATAGGTGAGATGAGTCATAAACCTCAAGAATCACCTGCTGGGTTCCTGGGGTGCCTTAGGTTTATCCAGATACTCCAGAAAACCAAGGCCATAAATATTGCCCTTTGTCACCCAGCTGGCCCCAGATGTTAGAAATAGTTACAGAAACTAGAAGGGTTCGAGGACATAAATAGGTCACAGTTGTTAGAAATTACCAAGTTAATCAGGACTATAAATAAAAAAAAAAAACTTTCAAAAAGAAAAATGACAGGAAGCCTAGAGGAGGTGACTGGAGGCAACAACAACAACAACAAAAGACTAAAAAAGAGACATTAAAAGAATAAGGGCCACCACCTCTTTTGGGGAAATGAAGGCAAGTCTTTCTCTAGGCGCAGATCTAACCCCAACTAGGATTCTGGTTACTTGCCCCCTTGTCTGAAGAATATCTCCTGCAACCAGAACCAACTGTTAACAAAAATACCCAGCCTCCAAGGTATTTACAGGACCTGCAACAACTGTTCACTTCTGTATGGACTGAGAATAACGCCCCCAACCCCCCAGGTCTGGCAAGTAAGGGAATTCCTGGGGACAGTCGGCTATTGTTGCCTATGGATTTTTGAATTTGCTAAAGTAGCAAAACCTCTGTATGCCAGCCTTAAAGGGAACCAACCTCTAGAATGTACTGAGACTGAAAAAGGAGACTTGTTCTCTCCCAGATGTTACCAAGTCATTCCACTTATTTGTGGATAAGGCCCAGAACATTGCCAAGGGAGTTCTAACCCAAACTTTGGGGTTATGAAAATCATGTATCAGCTAGATGACCACCCTGTAAAAAGATGATAAATTGACTTGGGGTAAGAACTTTCCTTAACCACTCCTCACTCAGTTAAAGTCCTCCTGAGGAGAACTCCAGAGAGATGACTGTCAAATGCCCGATGACTCATTACCAGGCAGGCACTCTTCCTAGAGCAACCCTGTACAAGGTTTTACAGGGCCTCGACCCTCGACCCAACAAGCCTGCTGCCAGATGAGGACCCAGAGGTACCACTACATGACTATACCAAGGAGACTAACCTGATCCAATCTACTGGACCGAATTTGACTGATGTCCCACTGCCAGAGGCAAATGAGATACTGTACATGGATGGAAACAGTTTCGTCTAGAATGACATCAGGTATGCTGGGGCTGCAGTCTATTGGGAAAAGGACAAAGCCATCACCGTGCATACCAACAACTGGTATGCTTTTGACATGGCTCATGTGTATGGGGCACTGTAAGAGGGTTCCTTCCAAAAGGGCCCCCCCGAGACACAAGGAAAAAGGGCAATGGATCTGGCTGCTAGGGAGGTGGCCCTAAAACCAGTGGGGTCCCTCCAGGACCTGGTCACATTGCCAGAACCAATCCTGCCTCACAAGCCTGCTTACATACCAAAGGAAAAGACCTGCTGCTTCTATGCAAATCAATCTGAAATTATCACGAAAAACTTAGCACTAGTTTGACAACTAATAACAGTCTTTATTTTCCTGGTCCCTATGGCTCACTACCCTGCTCACAGCCTTTACTGGGCCTCTAGTACTCCTGCTCCTGGCTCTGACAGGCAGGTCTTGTCTGATCAATTGCCTGACTAGTGATATTAGACGACGAGTAAATACAGTAAAAATCATGGTCCTAAGAGAACAATATAATCCCCTAGATGAGTGTAGGATTTGACTCATGCCTATAGAACCAGTGGGGAATGTAATAGGGCACCTTCTTTAACATGTAGCCATGTTAAAGTTTAGGCTAACTCTAGTCTCTGAAATTATCAGGCATTTGGCCCAAGGTATGGGAACACATGTCAGCTGGACCCCAGTTGTCTTGGGAACAGGTCAGTGTGTCCTTCTGTAGGTTATGCATGGCTTGCTTCTGCAAAATAGTAGTTGCTGCTTAATAGAATAGAAATTGTTAAGGGGGCTCTCTACCTGTAAGCTTGGGAACTTAAACTTTTCACCCCTGGTTATAGCTTCTCTGTGTGAAAGCTTACCCTACAAACGGCTCAGGGCTACACACTGGGTTCCTACACCCAGTGTAGTAGCCCTGGCCAGCAGCGACTTTCATTTGGCAAAACTTTGTCTGAGTGGTCTTCTCTGGTGAAGCACCCCGTAACACTAAGAGTTTATGAACACAACTGAGAATCCTAGGCACAAATAAGGCTGTTTTTCTCTGCTTCTTGTATTTTTTAAGACAGGATCTCACTATGTAATCAAAATTGGCCTGGAGCTTGCTATGTAGCCAAGGCTAGCCTGTAACTCATGATCCTCCTGCCTCAGCTGCCTGAATTCTGGGATTATACCCCCCCCCTTACACCTCTGCACCTCCACTCCCCACCCACTCAGTTCCTTTATATTCTTGGATCCTTTCCTGGAATGCCTTTCCTTCTACGACCAGCAGATGGACTCCTAAATCACAAAACAAGAAAATAAAGCCTGGCTAGATTTGTTAAGGGGCCCTACCCTTGATTTGCCTGACTCAAACACAATCCTCTGTTTACTTAACACATATTTATTTATTAACAATGCATTTGGTATACTCAGTATTCTAAATGTCTCAAGTGACCAAGAAAAATAAGGTACTTTGTCAGGACTGGAGGCTGAAGTCTGTGTATGATCCCAGCTACTCAAGAGGCTAACGCAGGAGGAGGATAGCATGTTCAAAAGTGCCAACCTGAACTATTTAGACCCTGTCTCCAAATAAAAAGTAAAAAGAGAAGCCAGACGTGGTGGTGCACGCCTTTGATCCCAGCACTTGGGGGATGGGGGCAGAAGCAGGCGAATCTCTGTGAGTTCGAGACCAGCCTGGTCTACATAGCAAGTTCCAGGCCAGCTGGAGATACAGAGAGACCCTGATTCAAAAAGACCAAAAATAAATAAATAAAAATTTTTTAATTTAAAAATTAAAGAGAAAAAAGGATGACTGTGGCTATACCTCAGTGATTGAGTCCTTAGCATGTTCAAAGCCATGGTTTGATCTGTACAGTTCCAAGAAGAAAAAAAAAAAAAAGGCACCTGTCTTCATCAGAGCTCATATTTCAATGGTAGAGCCAGAAATTTTCTTCCCAGTGAACCCAGTGAGCTATGTGAAAGCACTCCCCTCTCTACACTCCAGTATAGGCGATTGAACCTAGGGTCTCATTATGTAGCCTTCGCTGGCTGAAACTCACTATATAGAGCAGGCTGGCCTCAAACTCATAGAGATCCACCTGCCTCTGCCTCCCAAGTGCTGAATGCTGGGATTTAATATATACACCACCACTCCCGGCCCTAATCCTTTTTTGTAGTTTTTTCTTTTTCTTTTTTTTGAGATGAGTCACCCTGTAGCCTCAGCTGGCCTGGAACTCACTAGACTAGGCTGGCCTCAAACTAACAGAGCTTTGCCTCCCTCTGCCTCCGAGTGCTGGGATTAAAGGCGTTCACCACCATACCTGGCTTTTTTGTACTTTTTTCATTTTTTAGTTTGAAAAAATGTTTCTACCGTCAAAGTCTTGATTTAAAAAATGTTTTATTTATTATTTTATTTTATGTTTTTGAGTGTATTGCCTGCATGTATGTAAGTGCACCTGTGTACAATGCCCACAGAGGTCAGAAGAGGGCGTCAGATCCCCTGGAGCTGGAATTACAGACAGTTGTTAGCTGTCATGTGGGTGCTGGGAACCAAACCTGGGTCCTCTGCAAGAGCAGTCAGTGCTCTTAAGTAAACCAGGCTGGCTCAGTCTCACAGAAATCCTCCTACCTCTGCCTCCAGAATGTTGGGACTAAAGTTATGTGTTACCACGCCTTGTCCAAGCCTTGATTTTTTAATTACTTTTAAAAAACCAGTTTTTATTTAACTTTCTGACTCTGTGCTTGTGCCTTCAACACTTTCTTTTTATTGATTATTTTTATTTTATGTGTATGAGTGGATTGCCTGCATATGTGTAGGTGCACCCATGTCATGCAACACCCACAGAGGTCAGAAGAGGGCATCAGATCTCCTGGAACTGGAGTTACAGATGGCTGTCAGCCACCATGTGGGTGCTGGGAATTGAACCCAGGTCCTCTACAAGAGCAGCCAGTGCTCTTAACCACTGAGCCATCTCTCCAGCCCCTCCTTTAACACTTTCAAAATTATTTTCTGCTCCTCAGTAAGGAAACAAAGTATGCTTAGTCCTATCATAGACACTTTTAGCACCCTGCCAGTATGTTTTCTGTTCTAGACACTTTCATAAGGACTTTAAATCTCACAGTATGAACCCCTAGAAGTCTTCCTATACACATACCACATTTGGATTTAGGTGCTTTCCCAACCTTCTTGGTATGCAGGTAAACAAATCTGTTACCAGGGGTTTGAACAGTCTAGTTCTGTTAGAGGCTGTAATGTAGGGAAACCTATGACAGTATGTCAACATTGACCATTCTGAGTGCCTGTGAGCACCATCCTTGGGAGAGGAAAAGACCTTTTTGTGTTTTTTTGTTTTGGTTTTTTTTCAGGGGGGCTTTTTGAGACAGTGTCTCCCTATAGCCCCAGCTGTCCTGGAACTCACTATGTAGACCAGGCTGGCCTTGAACTCACAGAGATCCTCCTGCCTCTGCCTCCCGAGTGCTGAGATTAAAGGAGTGCACCACCATGCCTGGCTTTTTTCTTTTCTTTTTTAATTTTGAGACAGAGTCTAGATAAGTTCCCCAAGCTGGTCTTGAACTTTTGATCCTCCTGTTTCAGCCTCCCAAATGCCTAGCATTATATGTAGACCTATACTTCCATGCTCAGCTGTGAAAACACTTATGTATTCTAGAGGCCCAGTACAAGGCCTGCCATGGGTGGATAGTGAGTAAAGATTGATTTAATGAATAAAAAGCTAATGTGGAAATATAAATTTTTATTTTATTTTATTTTTTGTCTTTTCGAGACAGGATCGCCCTGTAGCCCCAGCTGGCCTGGAACTCTCTTTGTTGACCAGGCTGGCCTTGAACTCATAGAGATCTGCCTGCCTCTACCTCCCCAGTGCTGGGATTAAAGGCGTGCAACACCACATCCAGCAGAAGTTTAAAATTTTAAAACCACAAGAATATAAAAGGATAAAGCCGTCTAATGATGAGTTTCATAGGGCAGTTTCCAAGATGAAAATTTAATTCATCATTGATCATCCTATTATTAAAAATAATAATAATAAAGCCTAAAGCCTCCCACCATCCCACCTTAACAAGTAGAACTTATTGGGCAATTGTGGTCAGTTTTTCCCCCTTTACAATGGTTTTTGTTGTTGTTGCTTTGTTTTTTTGTTTGTTTGGTTCGTTTTTTTTTTTTTTTTTTTTTTTTTTTTTTTTTTTTTTTTGGAGAGGGGGACCCCCCC